TATTATATTATCATTCATGTACATGTTTTCTCTGGACATATATTTCATTTCTTTGGAGTAGATATCCAGAAATAGAATTTCTGGCTTGTACGGTAATGAATCTTTAAATTTATAAGGTAATGCCATACTTTTTGCCAAAGTGACTGTATTCCCACCAGCAAAGTCTGAGAGTTTCAGTTGTATCACATCCTTGCCTACACTTGGTGTTCTCAGTCTTTTTTACTTTATCCATTCTAGTATATAGTGATATATCATTGTGATTTTAATTGATATTGTTCTGATGACCTATAAAGGTGGATATCTTTCCATGTGCTTATGAAATTTTTAATCAAAGTATTAATCAAATAAATGCTAAAATGTAGTTATTGGAAGCAAGATTTGCAAACAGGGAGACTTGAAATTTATCCTTTCATAAGCACGAGATACCAAACAAATTAAACAATTAGCCCTCAAATGGTATACAATATAAATATTGAAATTCTGTAATTACATTTTGGAATATCTCAACTTGCAGGATGACTCATTTGTTGAAGCACCTATTTTTAATTAGATAAATTCACGTTCTCTACTGAAATGAAATGAAATTTAGGAGGCCTATAATTATACAGAATCATAAATAGAAACAACTTATTTGATGAGGTTTTTCTTATGAAATATATGTTGAAGAAAGGTATTCTGAATTAAGGCCAAAAGGCAGCATCTGTGAAAATGTTTGAGCTGAAATATTTACACATTTCATGTTAAAATTGTGAATTAGTTTGCTAAGCTGTCTTAACAAAATACCACAGACTGGGCAGCTTAAACAACAGAAATTTATTTATTTTCTTGAAGTTCTGGAAACTGGAAGTTCAAGATCAAGGTATCTATGGGTTTGTTTATTTCTGAGGCCTCTCTCCTCGGTTTGCAGGTGGCAACCTTCTCACCATCCTCACATGATCTTTCCTCCATATTTGCACATCCTAAGTGTCTTCTGTATGTCTGATTTCCTCTTCTTCTAAGTCCATCAATCAGGTTGGGGTAGAGCCACCATCACAGCCTCGTCTTAATAACTTCTTTAAAGACCCTACATCCAAACACAGTCTCACTCGGAGGTGCTAGGGATTAGGACTTCAATATATGCATTTTAGGAAGATGCGGGTCAGCCCAATACACTCCCCCAATGAGCAAACCAGTTTCTGACATCCCTTTTACTTGACCACCAGCATCTTGTGAGGGATATAGCATGAGTCAGTGCTCTTCCACAGGAAGTAAATGCCCTCTGCCTGCAACCTGGAATCACCCTTGCACTATATGCTTTTCCACGTGTCATCGTTGACTTGCCAGGCTCCAAAGTCTAAATTATTTAGGCCAATAATATTTATCAGACCCTGTTATATTGACATATTTTTTAAAAAATAGTTTTATTTCTTTTGTTTATAAAAGTAATAGGTGCATATTGAAAAAGAAAAATATTAGACAGTGGTGAAGTATAAAGAAGGAAATAAGAATCACCTCCTAAAACACACCACCCAAAAGAAAAGATAAATAAAAATACTAAATAAAGAAAAAAATTAAAAACAAAATAATAATAATAATAATAATAATTGGCCCAGCCAGCATAGCTCAGAGGTTGAGCGTCGATCCATGAACCAGAAGATGTTGGTTCGATTCCTGGTCAGAGCACATGCCTGGATTGCAGTCTCAGTCCCCAAAGTGGGACCTGCAGGAGACAGCCAATCAATGATTCTCTCTCATCATTGATGTTTCTATCTCTCTCTCCCTCCCACCTCTCTGAAATCAATAAAAATATTTTTAAAAATAATAATAAAGTAAAGAAAACACACCATCCAAGAATAGCCACTTGTATGTCCAGCAAAATGTTTTCTCTATGCAAATACTTGTATGCTTTTTAATATAAAAAGTAGAAATCATAACATATACAACTTTTCACCTTTATTTTTTTCTACTTTATATATTAATAGTAGCTCTGTGCACAAATCCATGCACCAGTTGCTGCCACCCTCCTGTAGCTCTCTGCCTGCCACCATGCCCCGTCCTGTAGCTCTCTGCTGCCCACTTGTAGTTCACTGCCCTATTCTCCTGCAGATCCGTGATCCGGTCATTATGCAATCAGTTATTATTCCTCACAGTGTAATGGATAATTTGCATATTCCTCTCTTATTATATAGGATGGTGAATGAGACATTAGGCTCTTGTCCAAGTAAAGCTGAAGTTTTGCCCAGTTTCTTCTTGAACAAAGGGATTTGTGGAAAGAAAGAAAAAATAGGAACTAGAATAACCAGGTTCCAATCCCCAAACACACAATCACCATCACTACAACTATGTCACTCTGGGATCAAATCTTGCCCACTTATCTCTTAAGACTTTGGTGGAGCAAAGGAGGAGATAAAAGAAAAATAAATATGGAGATAAATGAAATAAAACAAAGGCTATTTAAGCCAAAACCGGTTTGGCTCAGCGGTAGAGCGTCAGTCTGCGGACTGAAAGGTCCCGGGTTTGATTCCAGTCAGGGGCATGTACTTTGGTTGCGGGCACATCCCCAGTAGGGGGTGTGCAAGAGGCAGCTGGTCGATGTTTCTCTCTCATTGACGTTTCTAGCTCTCTGTCTCTCTCCCTTCCTCTCTGTAAAAATCAATAAAATATATTTTTTTTAAAAAGGCTATTTAAAAAGTACAATAGGAATAACTCCTTACTTCAAAAAAAGTTTTAACAACAGGTACAGAATAGGCACTGCCCAATCTAATGGCAACTATAAACTGCTGTCCCACCTGTATGGCTGCTATCTGGCTCAGTATCAGCCTGGTTCTTACCCCTCATTCTCCACAATGGACACCTTTTCCTGGAAGTAGTGAGGAAAGAATGTATTTTATTTTCTGCTGAGAAGACCAATGTTGGAAATCACCCTCTCACCACTAGAGACCAGCCTATCTGAAAAAGGAACCACCATAAAGGAAATCAGAGGAAACACAAGACATGTAAACCAATCCTTTGACAACATTCGAGCACCTGGATCCAACCATACCTGAGGTCAGCAAGGCCTAGACTTTTCAGTTATATGAGCCAATCAGTATTCCTTTTTGGCTAAGAAGTAAGCTCAATTTCTGATATTAAAACCAAAGAATCTTATCACACTCATATATTCTTCTCCCTGTTAAAGTTACATGACAAAGAAGCCACTATATGCCTTACATAGTAACGGGAAAAGGTTTGTATCTAAGAATTGAGAATAAACCTGAGGAATGCAAAAGAAGTTCATACCAATTTCCTAGGCACCAACTCCTGAAATTATCAACCCTGATACCCATATTCACAGCCTGCAATTTTTAGAAAAGCATGATAGCAAAGAGGAATTGGCCACAGAATGCATGGAGAGATACCAGTATACTCAGTATCTTACCTCTCCACTAAAAAAGATTTAGTACTAGTTGCATGAAGTTTCATATTTCTAAAATTCATTACAGCTATAAAAAAAACAGCACCATTTTTTCATGAGCTATTAAAACAAACAGTTAAAAATAAAGCCCATTTGCTATCCAATATCCTTTGGATGATCATATTTTTCCTTGTATTTGGGAAGCAACAAAATTTGGTTAACTGCAATACATCTTGTAACTGATGCAGATGTCCACGTTCTCCTTTACCCCCTAAAATAATAAGCTACAATTTCTCTAGCTATATAATTTGTAAATTATATAGACATATAACATGAAATACATTCTCTTTGTTTCTCTTCTTTGTCTTTCTCAGCTGGCCTTTCATTTTAACAGTTTTCTGTGAATTCTCCACAAACATTGAATGGCATGAGCATAAGAATAATATAAAGAGCATATTAACATGTAAATTTGGCACATGTTATGTGCCTATTACATCACATGCTATTTTATTTAATACTGATCCTAGCTTTTAAAGCAGGTGTGATTGCCCCCATTTTCCTAATAGGAAAGCCTTTACCAAGTTGAGACAGCTATAAAACAGCTATAGTAGACACTGTTGGTTGCTCATTCATAATTATTTTCCTTCTTCTTCTTTGCTGGTTGAATATGCTTCTCACTAAAGAAGTTGAAAACACCGAACACACTTTATCCCAGAGTTCTTTGCTGCTAGAGCACAAGCATATGACCCAAGCTAGCCAATGGGTCCTGAGTGAAAGTCTGCTGGATTTTGGGGAAAGTTTTCTCCCTGATTAAAAAATAAAATATACCGCTGCCCTGTGGGTGCAGGACCTGCCCGCACCACAGCCCGGCTGCCATGCCGCACCTCTGACAGGCCAGGGCGCAGAGGAAGGGGCTATTTCTACGCTCAGCGCCCCGAGCAGTGGGCGCTGGGAATGGTTTGTAGCCTGACATGTCGGCGGGAAAAAAAATAAAAAATAAATAAAATAAAATAAAATAAAATAAAATAAAATAAAATAAAATAAAATAAAATAAAATAAAATATACCCACATAAGAAGGGCCTTCTTTCCCCCTATGTTTTGTTGTTGGATGAAGTCTTATAATGATGTCATATCTGGAGCTGCAGCAGCCTTCTTGAGGGTACAAACCTAAAGATGAAATTATTATAAATACTCAAAAACTCTAGAAATGGCGAAAAAGAAAAGTGGTCTTTAATGACATCTTTGAACTTCTCATTTAACTAACCCTGAAGTCCTCTCCCTCAAGACTTAGAACAGTGCCTGGTGATTATTAGACACTTAACAAATATCTATTAAATGAATAAATGAATGATTTTAACTTTCTAAATTTGGCATCATAGAAAATGAGAAAAATATCTATCAAAGCTATATGACCCAGCAATTCCACTCCTAGGTATGTTACAAGAGAAATGCGTGTTATGTGTGCCAACATTGGTATTCTCAGCACGCATTTTTATAGTAGCTCCAAACTGGAAACAATTCAAATGTCCATAAACTGGGTAATGAATAAATAAGTGTAGGAATATTCACATATTGCAATTCTACATAACAATACAAAAGAACAGTCTGTTAATGTTCACATTAGTAATTGAGGTCTATCCCGATGGGTCTTTTTCTGTAGACCTACATCTTGGAAATACCTCAGAATAAATATGTAGCTTTCTTTATTCACAGAACTATGTGTTAGATCTGTGGAAAGCAACTACAAGACAGCTGCTAAAACTGTGAAAGACCTAATAATTAATTTTTTTAATCTTAGATATTTGTATATCCTGAAGATCTGTTATTTTATTCTAGGGAGTGATAGCTTAGGAGTGAAGATGATTTGAACTTATTCATGTTTAGAGGGTGTCTGAAACTTAAAAACAGGCAGATCCATTTACTCAGACCCTAACCATGGCCCTGAAGTAAATTGCTTGAAAAAATTGGGTCCCAACAATTATAGGTGGAGTGTTTTTGAAGTATGTCCGTATTCAAGTGTAGATCAAAGAAACTCAGTTAAAATAATTGTGGACTGAGTGAAGTGACAACTGGAAAAAAGGGGATTAAGACTCAAACTTGGGAGGAACTAAGGCAGTGAAAGGACTCAGACCATGTGAAATTTCTTAAATAAAAATTTATTAACTTTAAATAATTGTGCCTTTACATTTTAATTTTTTGCACTAAAATATGTCATTACATGTTATGCAACTTTACCATGAGATTAACTACCAATAAAAATTTTAGTTAACATTTTAGGAACAGCTTTTTTGTCCAGTACAATTGATTTTTCTAAAATATTCACTTATTTCAATTAGCCAATTTAAATTAGCCTGAAAACCTGACTACTATTTTACTGTCAAATTTAAAAGCTATCAAAATTACATTATAAAATTTCCAAAAGCCTCCTAATATTTAAATAAAAAAGGGAGGATAGTAGAAGAACATCATATAAGGAAAAATACCCTGTAAGTAAATTACATCTAGAAAATTTTTACTTTAGAAAATTAACTTTCATTTTGTAATGCTAACAACAAGACACCCATGTAAAACATACATGGTGTCAAAACAAGCCAAAGGAAAATCATTTGGGCAAAAATGAAAAAGGATCACAAGTCAAATTTATAGAAAAGATTCCTTTATTAACTTTTGATCGAGAATATGTTTGTATATTTTCACAAAACAACTCCAAGACCATATGTATTCCTGCAACAGAAAGGAATTGACATGAGTGCTCCAGCCATAAAGACAGAAGAGAAACAAACAGTCCAGAGATGGAAGACACTGATGATGCCTTGCTATTCTAGCAGTCAGCAGCAGTGCATTGCTGCTGGTTGCCCAGGACCAAACCAGAGAGGGTCGGACCTGCATTACCACCATTTGTCCACCATCCAGAACTGAAATATCATTGCTGACATGTACACATAAGGAACTGTTTGACAGAAATTGAGACTCAAAAGAACTGTTGGTCCAGAAAGAAACTCACTATAGACTGATTCATTTGCCTTTCAGTATAACCATTATGGCTTGTCTCATTTTCAGTTTTTATAAGTGTATTTCTAGTATTACATGAGCTCACTCATCTAGGGGAAATGAAGAACATAGACTGATGAACAGAAACAACATTGATCAGACTGTTGGACCTCAGAGGGAATGTAGGGGAGGGTGGGGATAAGGGAAAGAGATCAACCAAATGACTTGTATGCATCATTTGAGCCTAACCATTGGTCACAGACAACAGGGAGGTGGGGGTATGCGTGGGGAGGGGTTTGGGATAGGAATAGGGGGATGAGGACAAATATGTGATACCTTAATCAATAAAGTAATAAATAAATAAATAAATAAATAAATAAATAAATAAATTGTGCCTGTTACAAATAATAAAAACCCTTTATACTTAAAAAAATATATATTCACATTATCATAGACAAATCTCACAGACATGATATTGAGGGGGGAAAAAACACACACACACACAAGACTACATACTATTTTATTTCATTAAATAAAATTCAAGAATAAAAAAAATGAATCCATGGTGATACAAGACAGTGGTGGCCTTTGTGACAGGGGGATGGTTATTGAAGTGATAGGGCTTGAGAGACTCTCCTGGAATGTGGATTTTTCTATCAAAAGTGCCTAAATAGAGCAGAAAAGACTTTATGTATAAGGATAGTCATTGCAGAATTTAAATTAGTGAAAAACTGGAAATAACCTAATTATTCAACAGCATATACAGTAATTAAGCACATTCTAATACACATACATTAAAAAGAATGCTCAGGAAAGCTGATGATATAATGTTAAATGAGGTAAAATGGAATTAAAATTGCAAATACTTTAAGAATACAACCATGAAAGAAAATTTAAGCCTGTAGAAAGAAAAAGCCTGGAAGTGTTTGTAGTTAAAAAATTATCAGTGTCTGCTCCTGAAGAATGTGGTTCAGCAAGTGGTTGTAGGAGTTGGGGTGTATGTGTGGGAGTGGGGAGCAGGGAAGTGGGCCAGTAGAAAGCAGACAAGGACTTTCATTTTTTGCTTTATGACCTCTGTATTTGACTTTTTTTTTTTTACAATGAATATGCACAATTATATGATTAAAATTTTAATTCATTAAAAGCAACTGGAAGGAAATTTATAAAATGTTAACAATGCTTATCTTTGGATAATGGGATTTAGAAGATATTTTAAATGATTTCTTTCACTTTTCTATAATTTCAGATTCCTATGATGAGTACATGTCTTTTAAAATTATATATATATATATATATATATTTGTTAATCCTCACCCCAGGGTATTTTTCCATTGATTTTTAGAGAGAGTAGAAGGGAGAGGGAGAGACAGAAACATTGATGTGAGAAAGACACATCAATAGGTTGCCTCCTACACCTACCCCAACCAAGGTACATGCCCTTGACCAGAATTAAACCTGGAACCCTTCAGTCTGAGGACCAAAGCTGTAACCACTGAACCAAACTGGCTAAGGCTTAATATATTTCTATTGATTTCAGAGAGGAAGAGAGAGATAGAAACATCAATGATGAGAGAGAATCGTTGATCAGCTGCTTCCTGCACACCCCTTTCTGGGGATCAAGCCTGCAACTCAGGCATGTGCCCTGATCGGGAATTGAACCGTGACCCCCTGGTTCATAGGTCGATGCTCAACCACTGAGCCATGATGGCCAGGTAGTACATGACTTTTTTTTCAAATATATGTTTTATTGTTGATAGTATTACAAATATCTCCCATCCCCCCACCACCACCCTTTACCCTCCTCTTCCAAAACCCCCCAGCAAGGTCTTCACTATCCTATGCCCCTTGTCCATGGGTTATGAATATCCTATATAATAAAGAGGTACTATGCAAATTATCCTCACACCTTCACAAGATGCCTGCCTATGACCAGGCCAGCGGGGGGATTACTGAGGGATGACCAAATAACTGAACAGCAGGCTGCGTGGGGCAACTAGGCTAGTGGGGGGGAGATAGGTCATGAGTGGCAACCAGGCCGGCAGGGGGAGCAGTTGAGGGCAACCAGGCCAGCAGTGGGGGCAGTTAGGGGTGACCAGGCTGGTAGAGGAGTACAGCTGGGGGCAACCAGGCCAGCAAAGGGGGACAGTTGGGGTTGACCAGGCCGGCAGAGGGGGAAATTAGAGGTAACCAGGTTGGCAGAGGGGGGCAGTTGAGGGCAACCAGATGGCAGGGAGGGGACAATTGGAGGAGACCTGGCCGGCAGTGAGGGGTGGTTAGGAGTAACCAGACTGGCAGGGAGGGCATTTGGGGGGATCAGGCCGGTATGCAGAGGCAGTGAGGGGTGATCAGGCTGGCAAGGGGGGCAGTTAGGGGCAACCAGGCAGGCAAGCAGGTGAGTAGTTAGGAGCCAGTGGTCCAGGATTGTGGGAGGGATATCCAACCCACAATCAGACAGTCAGACATCCCCAGAGGGGTCCCAGATTGTAGATGGTACAGGATGGGCTGAGGGGACACCCCAAACCCCCCCACCCCCAATGCATGAATTTCGTGTACCAGGCCTCTAGTAAGTACAGCAATTCTTTGGTTTAACTCTTCTCATCCACACAACCTCACATCAAGGTATGTCAGTCTGCTCCATGCCTTCATATCTTTATATCTGAAAAAAACTTTCTTTGATGAGATGATACATTTGAAAGCACACTGTAACCTGTGAAGTGCTTCTGTTATAAAAGTGGTTGTATTACTGTTGTGAAACAGTGAATGCTGGCAATGCCATTTGTCAGGGCAGAGGGCAGATCCTCTATCCAGCCTCCCAAGGGCTCGAGTTTTGCCTCTGCTGCCACCTTTGGAAGGTGTGAGGAAAGCTAAGCAAACACCAACCACCCACTCAGAACAAGTGTAACTACTTGAGAGTTTTCTGGTGAAACTGCAGATATTAGATCAGAAAAGTATTTCTTGGGGCAGTGCTTCTCAGCCCAGGCTAACACATTAGAATCACCTGGGAGTTCTGATGCTCTCCTACTTCCAGAGGTCAGAATTCAATTGCTTGGGGTGAGGCCCAGGCAGGAGTATTTTTAAGACATTTCCCAACAACTTAAGGGTGATAGAGTGTAGAGTGATGCCTTTGAGTGATACTGTGGATGAATTCTCTATGTCACATGCAGGCAAAAGTTCCAAAACTCCTCTAGAAAGTTTAACTCTCTAACCCAGTGGTCAGCAAACTCATTAGTCAACAGAGCCAAATATCAACAGTTCAATGACTGAAATTTCTTTTGAGAGCCAAATTTTTAAAAATTATACTCTATAGGTAGGTACATTGTTATTAACTTAATCAGGGTACTTCCAAGCTGGCCTTTGCTAAAACTCCAGGGGCCAAAGAGCTGTATGTGGCTCGAGAGCCGCTGTTTGCCGACCACTGCTCTAACCAAAAAACAGAAAAAACACTATTTTCTTCAAACCAACCTGAGTTTTTGGTGTGGTCTTTTTAAGTAAGAATTTTTTTTTAATGTCTTTTTATTGGTTTTAGAGAGAGATAGACACAACAATGATGAGATCACTGTTTGGCTGCATCCTGCATGCTCCCTATTGGGGATCAAGCCCACAACTCAGGCACGTGCCCTGGCCAAATTGAACCACTGAGCCACACTAGCTGGGCTTAAGTAAGAATTTTAATCACCACTCCTATATTTACAGTTTACACAGGGTACTGGTGGAGATGATCTCATTTGATGATCTCATTGAACTGTATGTACACTGCTAAGAG